GTGGCTGAATCTAGAGTTTGTGATGCTGGGATTGATTCAAGGTGCAATGCTAGGCTCAAAGGCACTAGGATTAAGGATATGAGTACTGCCCATCCTAAATAGTCTAAATAAGATAAAAGGGGCAGAAAGACTCTGTTAAGATCCCTTGATGCTTTGCTACCTTCTTTCTGCCATGAACCATTGTCCCTTTACGGTGGAGCCAGCCAATTGTGGACTAAAATCTCTACAAACTATGAGCTAAATATATCTTTCTTTCTTTAACTTTGAGTGTTGGGTATTTTGTCTCAGCAATGAGAAAAGTAAGATACCCAGAAACCATAATCAATAAATGTTCAGGGGATGTTAAAATGAAATATTAGAAGCAACTTAGTATTTTTTATTAAATTGCTTGGTACATTTTAGGGATACACTATGATCACATTCACCATTGGGAATTTGTCCATGATCTATCTTGGTTCTTATTTTTTCCCATTCCCTTTCCCTCTCTTCAACCCCTCCACTCCTCCCTATTTATATAAGCTTTGTTTCCATTTTTTTTCCTTTTTTTCCCATTTTTTTCTTTCCCTTCTTTCCTTGCCCCATCCTCCTCCCTAATTTCCCTTCCCCTTTGCACATACATTTTCTCCCTATTTTGCAATATCTAGTATATATTTTGGCCCTCATTTACACTTTGTTTCTCACACCAGAAAAACAATTTGGTGTTTACACATGTGTCCTATTTATTTTACTTAAGAGTATGGTCTCAAGTTGCATCCATTTAGCTATAAATGTCTCTAGTTTTTCTTTATAGCCGAATAGTACTCCATTTTATGTGCATTAAAAAATCTTCTTTATTCAATCACCAGTTGGGCATTTGAACTGTTTCTAAGTTTTAGCTATTACAAACTGTGCCACTGTAAACATGAGTGTTCATATGTCACTGTGGTATAATTCTTTCAGGAACATTCCCAGCAGGGTAATATCTGAGTCAAATGTGATCTCTAATCCTAGCTTTTTGAGGTATCTCTATATTGATTTCCGCGGTGGTTGCACCAGTCTACACTCCCACCAATAGTGGAGAAGGGTTCCTTTCTCCCCATAGCTCTGACAGCACTTGTTATTGGTTGATTTCTTGATAGCAGCCATTCTTTCTGGAGTGAAATGGAATCTCACTGTTGTTTTTCATCTGCATCTCTCAAATGACCAGCAATGTTCAATGTTTTTTCATATGTTTATTTGCTGCTTCTACTTCATCTGGGAAGTGTCTGTTTATTTCAGATGCCCATTTTTGGATTTGGTCTTTAAATTTGGAGGGACTGATTTTTTTTTCATTTACTGTTTATTGGTATATTTTAGAACTACAATATGATGGCATTCATCATTGGGAATTTGTATCTTTACATGATATATCTTGGTTATTTTTTCCCCATTCCCCTGCCTTCCCTTGAACCTCTCCATTCCTTTTTATTTACAAAGACTTTATGTTTCCAATTTTTTTTCTTATATTTATTCCTTTCCCAACCCCTCCCACTTTCCTTTCCCCTTTCCCTTTTCTTCCTATTTCACATCTATTATACATTTTGATCCTTATTTTTACTTTCTCACATTAGAGAGACTATTCAGTATTTACACCTGTGTCCTGTTTGTTTTACTTGAGTATGGCCTCAAGGTGCATCCATTTAGCTATAAATGTCTCTAGTTTCTCATTTTTATGTCTGAGTAGTACTCCATTTTATTTTTTTAAAAACCCCACGTCTTTACCCAGTCTTTAGTTGGTGGGCAGTTGGGCTGTTTCCAAGTTTTAGTTATTACAAACTGTGCCTGTATACACATGGGTGTGCATATATCTCTGTGATATGATTCTTTTAATTCTTTTGGGAAGATACCCAGCAAGGGAATAGCTGGATCAAATGGGACCTCTAATCCTAGTTTTTTGAGGTATCTCCATACTGATTTCCACAGTAGTTGCACCAGTCTATACTCCCACCAACAGTGGAGAAGGATTCCTTTCTCCCCACAGCCTTTTTTGGGTTCCTGTCACTTGGAATACTATTTTCCATCCTTTGACTTTCTGTCTATGAATTTCTCTCTTTTTTTTTTTTTTTTTTTTTTTTTTTTTGTACCAGGGACTGAACTTGGGTGAGGTAAATCCCAGCCCTATTAATTTCTTTTTGAATTGTGTGTTTCTTATATCCAACATACTGTTGGATCTTGCTTCTTGATCTATTCTGCCCGTCTCTTTCTTTTGATTGGTGAATGGAGACCATTAACATTGATGGTTATAACTGATGTATTGACTTATCCTTTTCACGAAATTTTCCTATTGTTGGCTCATCCCTCCCCCATTTAATTTCTCACCTTTCCTGATGGATTCCTTTGGTTAGGGTTCATGGCCAACTGTTTTGTTGATGTTTTTGGTTTAATTCCAAAATTATTGTATATTGCTTATTTTGAGTCTCTTAGGTAATGACGATTTCTCAGAGGAGTCTTCCAGGTATAGTTGGTCTTTGGGTTTTGACTCTGTAATGCCCTTAGGCAATCTCAATTTTGATCTACCAGGAAGGACAACTGACTAGAATAATCGTGTCACCTTGGTCAAAGTAATATAATCAACATCAACAATAGCATCAAACACAGCCTAGAAAATGAAAAACTGTGGTAACTATTACTCTACCATTTTTAACTGCATGAATTGGACTTGTGATCACATATTGAAGTCTAGAACCAACCAAAATATGTTTGCAGTAGAGAAGTCCTTTAATGTAGGAAATTTACCCTCCAGGAAGAAGACTTAGAAGGAATTGGGAAGCAGAATAGTGAAATAGGAGGAGAGGGAAAGGTTAGAAGTAAGGCCAGGACACACAGGAAGACTGTGCAAACTTTGGGAAACTGGTGAAGACAGGAGAAAAAGAGAGAAGGAAGGACCAAAAATAAGAACAGAACAAACTAACAGTAATAGGAATACTAGAAACCATATTCAGTATCCAATAAAAATAAGAAAAAACAGGACTAAAACAGGAACTAGAAAGGGGAGAAACGAAGAATGAGAAAGAGAAGAAAAAGAAGAGAAAAATAAAAGAGAAAAGAAAAAATGTTCCATACAGGGCACATCTCTGCTGCTGTCACCAATAGTCAACATAGTCAGCATACAGATCTGAGTCAGTTAATCTCAGAGAGCCAGACAAAGTTCCCTGAAATTCAGGTTGGTTTCTGGCTGTGAAGCTGGAATTTAACTTGATCTCCTGCAGATTGAACTCTGTAAGGTTCTACTGCAGGTTCCAGTTGCCCTTCCCCTGAAGTGAGTCCGGGTTTTGGTAGGAGGTGCTGATTGCAAGAACTCACCAAGGCTGTAGTCTGCTGTGTCTTTGTTACAGTGACTCTCTTTGCTCTCCAAGAGGGCTTCAGTTTTCAAGAACAAGCCTCAGAGAGACCTTCTCTCTGCTCCTCACCACTGTGCCATCTTCCCAAGCTCATTACGGTGGTCTTTCTGGCCCCAGGAAGAATCCTGGAAGGGTGACTCCCAAAGGCATGGTGGCCCAAGGTCTAGTGGTTGCTCACAACTTAGTGTTTAAGAAAATCATGTTTCTCTACATGTTTCTGATAATTTTTCAAGATAATTTTAGAATGTCACAGAATACTAACATGAAATATTTTAAAATTTTATAGCAAGAACATTACTTTTAAGACATGAATGTGAAAATATTGCAATTATTTACCACTTGTCTTTATTTGCCAACTCTTCAAGCCTTTTACTCACACAGCATATGTTCTTTTTCCCCCTTTTGGTCAGGTAACAGCTGTCTCTTGACTAATTTAAAATGTTGCATTAAAATGAGCTTTGCTATTTTCACTATTGCATATGTTCATCCTACACTTTGGGGAAATGACATAATGTGATTCAGCATGTTAGTTTAAATATCACCCAAAATGTAATCGTTTCCAGATCCATTTGTTGACATTTAATACTGTTCACAGTTTAAAATGCCATAAAGCCAAATGCAGTGGTATTTGCATCAGTGCAAAAAATGTTAATGTAAAATATATGTGTTTAACTTGTTGGCAAAATTATCTAATATATTTTGTACACATTACAATCAGGTATGATACTCATAACATGGAGTGGCCACTTGAAACATGAAAGTTTAGTTCAAATGACAGCTGTCATTACCTTAAGAAATACAGTACTCTAATTTTGATTTAGAGTCTATTCATAGATTGGCCCATACCAGTCCTTCCCTTGACATGCCTTGATATGCATGTAGAACTAAGTACTAGAAGTTCACCTACCTTTAAATTTTTCTCTTTTTCTCCCTAAAGAGTAGCAAATGCTTATAAGCTAAAGCTAGTCCTTTGTTCTGGAAGTTTCACCAATTTCTCTTCTACTGAGCAAAAATCAAATGAAAATAATGAATATACATATTTCTTTTACTTTAAGGCTAAACAGAATATTTCCCTACTAGTTTAGTTTTTCTGTGAGAAAAGCTGAGAATAAGAAGTCTTTTTCTTTATCCCTGACTTATTTCCCATATTCCTTGAACAGATCCTGTCCAGAATTCTTTCCATTCAAAGCTAGCTAACTAATTTACTTACTTATTAAGCTTTCACAATGAAAATTTTCAGATGTACAGAGACAAGTAAAAAGAATTATACAATAGATAATTATTATATAACCATCACCTAGATTTTAATGTGTATCATATTGGTATCATTTCTTAATTTTCTAAATTATTTTAAAGTAAATTATAGAAATTATGACATTTTCTAGATTAATTTTAAAAGACTGTTTTCTTCTGTAATCATAACATTATCTCTCCTCGCAGAATTGGCAGTAATTCTCTAATGCCGTCAAATATCCAGTGCATAAACTTCTTCTGTCCCCAGAATGTCTGTTGCAGCCAATGCATTCAAATCATATTCAACCAAATATATCTAGCAATATAATTGAGTTTACTGTTAACTAATTTAAATGGAAGAAATAAAAATTCTTTATCACTAAAAACAACTTGATTTTTTTTTTTAAGCATGGAGCCAAGTTAGTTTTGTATCTGTCAGAATTGGTACATAATCATGAGGATGAGCTGACTGAAGAAGAACTGGGCACTGCAGACCTGCTTATGTGTGCTCTAAAACTGTGTGGTCATAAGTACATCCCACCCAGTGCATCCTCAAAACCAGACCTTATCAACATGATCAAAGAGGTGAGTCAGTAAGCTGTAAGTAGTTAAAAGAGTATGTGTATGTGTGTGTTAGTTACATCCCAGCCCTTTTTATTTTTTTATTTTGAAACAAGTTCTCACTAAGTTGTCTATAAGCTTCTAATCCTCCTGCTCCAGCCTCCTGAGTAGTTGAGATTACAGGTGTGCACTACCACACTCAGCTAAGATTTTTTTGTTGTTATCTCATACACTGATACTAAACTTGAAATGGTTATTTTATTCTTTACTATATTGTACTTTTTCACTATGAGAGGAAAAAATAGGTTTATTTTATGGAACTTTTTATTCTCTATGGGCATCCTAATCAAATTTCAGTAACTTTTAGTGAAGAAAAGATTTTTTAAATGACAAGCATGTTGAACTGTATCTTCAGATCTGCATTCTTTAATGAAAAAGCAAAGACCAGTATGGTAGCACAAGCCTGTAATCCCAGCATCCAGGAGGCTAAGGCAGGAGCATCTCTCAAGCTTAAGATAAGCTTGGGCTACATAGTGAATCCAAGGCCAGCCTGAATAGCATAACAAGACTCTATCTCAAAAACAAACAAGAAAGCAAACCACTATGTGAACTTACTGGTTTTGGCAACCCTGGTTAAGTATTTCTTTCTTTCTTCCTTTCTTTTTTTTTTTTTTGTATTGGGGATCAAACTCAAGTCCTTGAACTTATGAGGCAGGTGGTAGAACCACTGACCTAAATCCCTGGGGTTTAAGTATTTCTGTAACCTAATTTCTGTAACCAAATTGCACAGAAACAAAGGAGAATTATAACATTATTTACATGACTTTTTTTTTTTTTGGTACCAGGGATCGAACTTGGGACCTCACACATGGGAGGCAGATGATGGAACCACTGAGCTAAATCCCTGGCCACTTATTTATTTTAATATTCTGGTCTCCTGGGGATATTTTTTTCCTTTTTTACCTTGGTTTTTAAAAAGCTTGTTTGGGCCAGGCATGGTGGTACGTGCCCTGTAATCCCAGCATTCAGGAGTCTGAAGCAGGAGAATCACTGTGAGTTCAAGGCTAGCCTGGACTACGTAGTGAAACACTGTCTTAAAACTAAAAATAAAAATAGTTTGTTGGGTTCTGCCATAATATTGGCATGTGATGAGAAGTACTAACTTTATGTTAACACATTATCCAAATCTTCTAGGAACAAAAGAAATATGAAATTGAAGAAAGTGGGAGTAAAGCCTCTTGGCAGAAAACAGTGAATAATAATCAACAAAGGTATAATTTTATGTGTTCCAAAAATCATATTTTGAAGGAACCATTAGACTTTATATGTATACTTTTAGCTTTTTTGCTTTGGTTTGAGTTTTGGTTTTCTGGGGTCCCTCCACCCCAGTGCCGGGGATGGAACACGGGCATCCTACATGCTAAATAAGCACTACCATTAAGCTCCACCCCCAGCCCTCATTTAGACTTTTAGTTTTAAAGTATTATGTTTTGATATCTATTTAGTATTGTATACACTCTTACAGATAATCTTTTTAGTCTTTTTCAGCGTCTTGACTCAAAATCAAAGGATATATCTAAAATAGCTGCAGATATCACCCAGGCAGTGTCTCTCTCCCAGGGAATAGAGAGAAAAAAAGTGATCCAGCACATCAGAGGAATGTACAAAGTGGACCTAAGCGCAAGCAGGCATTGGCAGGAACTCATTCAGCAGCTGACACACGATCGGTGAGCAGTGAGAGGACATCGTTATCTCCATGAGTATTAAACACTGTTTTCTTTTCTGTTTTTCAGCACTGGGGTTCAAACTCAGGTCGTTGAACTTGCGAGGCAGGCGGTGGAGCCACTGAGCTAAATCCCCAGCCTTAAACGCTATTTTCAATCCAGAATTCGGATTCATAAAATGATTTCAGTAGCTGAAGCATTTTTTGTTTAATTTTTGGTATTTTTTTAATCTTGAAAAATAATTGTGTGAGTTTTTTCCATTGTTGAGAAAAACATGAGAAAAAAGAAGGCAAAAAATGGTATTGGCTCTTCTAAACAGTAAAATTAACTTTCATTTTAAATAGGATCTTTTCAAAAGAATAAAGAAATCACTGAAATGGATAGTTGAGAAATACATCTTTTTTTAGCTAAGACTGTTGTACATTGTGAATAATAAAAAGAGGGAAATTAAAGTGTTATTCTCTAAAATTTAGTTTAGATAACTCTAGTATGACTTTGGGATGTTAGTATATACTAACCATTTTATAAAGTAAATTACAGACAGCTAAAAAAGTTAAACTCAGAAAGTTTACAAAGTGGAAGAGAGTATTAACTCTGAATATTGGGTAACTTTCTGAGCTCAAAACTGTTACAGAAGAAATTAAAATGAAATCCTTGCTTTTGAATTTTGTTTTCCAGTGTATTTAATGACCAAAAAAATGCAAATTTATTTTTAACTAATATAGCAAATAATATAGTAAATATGTTTATTGCTTATAAAACATACAGATTTGAAAGTGAAAGACTACAATCCCTGAAGTTTGAAAGAGGAAACTCCTCACACAAAACAAATAAAATTAATAAACAAAAGGGAGAATATTCAGTATTCCTATAGGCTTGATTTTTTAAAACTTAGATGTCCCATTTAGCTTTTTCTTTTTTCTTTTTTTTCTTGGTACTGGGGATCGAACTTGGGTCCTCGTGCTTGCAAGGCAGGCAGTGGCACCACTGAGTTAAATCCTGGCCCACATTTCACTTTTTATGTTTAAAAAAAAATGGGGGGCCAGGCTACTAATAGCTGAGAACGTCAGCTGTCCTTTGTCAGAGCTTTGGTGCCACTGTACACTGACAATATATGTCAGGAACCCGACAGATATCTCTAATTCTAGACATGTTTTAGTGTATCTCTCTTGTGAAAAAAATCAGAATATAAAAGACAGAAAGGTTTCCATATCTGCATTATTCACACTACAAAATAAATTGGAAAGACTTCAAATGAAAAATAATAGTAAGGTGTAAAATACATTATGATGTGTTCAGTCAACATCATATTAGTCATATTAATTATGGTGATAATAAAGAGTGTACTGTGCTCAGTAAGAGAAGGCAGGAGCTGGGAATATGTATGTGTAATGATTATAACTACAGATTAAAAATAGGTACATCTTAAAAATGAAAGAAAATAATGCTCAGGGTAGTAGGATTAAGAGTGGATTTTTCTTCATCTCTTTCTAATAATGTATTTAATAGGATTTAACAGCTTTCTTTTATCTAAAATAATTTTTAAAACTTTTAAAAATATGATAATATACCACAAAAAGAACTATTACATTGTTAAACTTTCCATAGTAGTAATGAAATATCTTTTTTTATTGTGTATCTTCTTCTTTTTTTTTTTGGGGGGGGGTATTGGGGATCAAACTTGGGTCCTTGCGCTTGCAAGGCAGGCGGCAGAACCACTGAGCTAAATCCCTGGCGAAATATCTTTTTTAAAATGTAATAAATGCAAGAAACTGAAAGTAGCTTGCTCCAGAAGACAACTCAATATCTGAAATTCAGGAGCAAAAGCATTTTTAAAATGATACTGTTTTGTTCAATCTATATGGGTTCCCTGCTAAATATATAAATACTCAATGTTTTTAAATTGAATAGATCAGTTGTGATTTACTTACTCTAATGATTTTTTAAGGCCATAAGTCCTTGGATGGCCCTTCAAATGTCCTTTTATTTTCACTTGCAGAGCAGTATGGTATGACCCCATCTACTACCCAACCTCCTGGCAGTTGGATCCAACAGAAGGGCCAAATCGAGAGAGGAGGCGTCTGCAGAGATGTTACTTAACTATTCCAAATAAGTACCTGCTTAGGGATAGACAAAAACTAGAAGGTAAACATGGCTTCTGCCAAAGCATATAAATATGGCAAATAACTGTGGTGGTCATTGAATAAAGATAGTGTGTACTTTTTCCTCAGCAGATGTGATCAAACCACCACTCTCTTACCTATTTGAAGACAAAACTCATTCTTCCTTCTCCTCTACTGTCAAAGACAAAGCTGCAAGTGAATCTATAAGGTAAATTTGAATCCAGAGACCTTCATTCTTTTGTGAATATACAATTGTTCCTTGTAAGTTTTATGTAATCTTTATTTTAGATAATGTTACAGCTTTAGGAAAAGTCCTAAACAAAGCAAGTTCAAGGCAGAACAAGATTCAGTGTCTAAAATCTAAATGACATTTCTGAGAGCAGAACATTTTGGACTTCATTCATCATGCTCTGGCCCTTATTCGTATACATATTTTTATAGTTAATTTTTTTAAAAGCTGCTCGTGGTATCAATAGGCAATATAGTGTGGTGATTAATCATTCACATTCCAGTTCCTGCTCTTCCTAGCTGTCTGACTGTGCACATTACTTAGCCTCTGCACCTGCATTTCTTCATCTATTAAATGAAGGAAAAATCATACCCACGTTTTCATAGCACTGTTGAGTTTTAAATGTGTCAGTAAGTAAGTATTATGAATGCCATTGCTGTGGCTATTACACAGTGTGGTCAGAAAGTAACAATGAATGATTAAATTTTTTTTAATGTACTACAATATAAGATGCATTGACTATATCTCCCTCAGATACTCCCCCTCATTTTGAACACACTTATCCCATTTTTCTTCCCTCTTTCTGAAGCAGTTCTGGAAGTTTTCTTTCATGAGTATCTTTAGTTACCCTGGTGTGGCTACCTCATACTGAATTTAGATGTTTACCTTTTGTGGTCATTTTGACTTTGGGGAAGAACCAGAAGTCATAAAGAACCAGATCTGGTGAATAAGATGGATGAGGACGAGCTGTCATGTTTTTGTCAGCCTGCCTTTCTGTTGGATGGCACTGGGCAGCAGAATTTGTCATACTTTTTTGTTCACACCTCTTAAAGACACTCTCAGCAGAGGACTTCCAACTGCTTCAGAAAGTGGCAAGAGCAATGGGATAAGTGTGCTCAAAGTAAGGAGGAATATATTGAGAGGGGTTAATAGCTACGTGTCTTTTAATTTAAACATTCACCATGTATTTTGATCAGACCTCCTATTATACTCATTTTGTAGATTAAAAAACTCTTAAGACTCAAAAGAAATGTTACTGACTAAAGAACTGGGAGCTTTTCCGACTCCCAAATCCTCGTTTTTGCTAGAATAATATGCTTCTTTCATGCTTGATACATCAGTAGCATGAAACAATGCCTGGTTCTTTACTGTGAATGGATTAAACATTGAAATACCTTTTGCATCTCTACATCTATTTGTAGGGACTGTGAGCCTTTTCTGAAGTTTCAGGATTATTTTTCCTCCTCTACTAGAACATTTAAATAACACCATAGTACTGTTTTGGATTTGAAGAGACATTTCATGCTATTGAAACTAGTTTGCTTTGCTGAAATCTTTTACTAAATGTATATACTCTAGAAAATTGGGTAAAAAATTTAATCATAGTAATTTTAAAATGTTTTGGCAGAGTAAATCGAAGATGTATCAGCGTTGCACCATCTAGAGAGACACCTGGTGAATTGTTATTAGGTAAGTCAGTTTCCAAGATTCTTATGCATATTCACCCTGCCTTATTTTATTTTTAATTTCAAGTTTGCCATTAAATCAGATAAACTTTCTCAAATAGTACATAGGCTTTCTTCCTTAGTATTATATAGATAGTCTTTCTCCTTAGCTGCAGGAGATGTGTTACAAGTCCCAGGGTGGACAGTACCAAACCCTCTGTATCCTATGTGTTTTCCTGTGCATACATACCTGTGATAATGATTAATTTATAAATTAGTACAGTGAGAGATTAACAATACCTAGGAATAAAATAATTATAATAAAAGTTATATGAATGTTATATCTTTCAAGTTATTTTAGTATAATTATACCTTTTAATTTAAAAGATTTTTATGGCCTCTCTTGGCATATCTGAAGTGCCAGCATCACTGCTTTTGTGCTTTGAGGCCATTATTAAGTAAAATAAGGGTCACTTGAACATAAGCATTTTAATGCTGCAACATGGTTGGTCTGATAACAGGCCATTATGAAGTGATAAAGAACAGATAGCAGATACACTGTGGACACACTGGACACCGAGATAACTCATATCCAAGACAAGATGAAGCAGGACAGGGCAAGATTTCTTCATACTGTTCAGGATGGTGTGTAACTTAAAATTTAGGAATTGTTTATTTCTGGAATTTTCCATAATTAATATTTTCAGACCATGACTGACCACCAGTAACTGAAACTACGGAAAACAAAAGTACAGATAAAAGAGTACTACTGGGGCCAAGGTGTAGCTCAGTGGTATTGTGTCTGCCTCACAAACACAAGGTCCTGCGTTTGATCCCCAGTGCTGGGTGAGAAAAAAAGAAGAGAGAACTACTGTAATACATATGATTCATGAATGTAAAGAAATATATCTTATTTTTTGAAAAGCATATAATTAAAATTTTCTTTTTATAAAGTTTTCTTGAGTATACATTGTTATAATCATTCCTCTTATTACATGCTAATTTACATTTTAAAGTAAAATTTTATTGGTATATTTATATTCCTACTGTTTCAACAGATATGCATATGCATAAATATGTACTTGATGTTTTTCATAGTTTATATTCCTTATTGTACCTCTGAAAGACTAAGATTGTCAACCCATGGATACCTGTATAGTCCCATTTGGTGGAAATGTTTTCCTCAAAATATGAAGTTATCGTTACAGCCCTTGGCCTTCCCTGAAGATCCAGTTTGTGTTCTGTAGGGCAGCCATGCTCAAAACATGGTCCTGCATTGAGAGCACCAATTCACATCCAGGGAAGGTTAGGGGGTTAGGTTATGGTCTATGTTTCTGTGCATCCTTCTGTGATTCTGATGTACCCTCAAATTTGAGAATCACTGCTCTAAGCTAAAACTATAGCCTTCAAGATCCAAGATAAGGAGTCTTAAGTTTGCTGGGTCTAACCCCAGTGACCACAGGATGGAGGTAGTTTCCTTCTCTGACCTAGCCATGTCAGTGTTTCATGGTCCACCCACATTCACAGGTGGCCAGTATGCAGGCGTTATAGCCCCTGGGAAGTTCCTGACATCTTGAAACATGATGTAAGAACGTGCATTGGCAGTAGCAGCCTAGGATGATAGAAAAATTGGAGGCCATTTTGCTCTGTCAGATGTCTCAATTGGCAGTATAACTAAGGATTAATATTGATCCTCTTTTGCTAGAAAATTTGGTTGACTACTTGACTTCAGTCTGTGACATAATAAAGCAAACCAATATGCGTATAAGAAGGATGGTTGCAATAAAGAATAATCAGTGTTTATTTAGCATTAAGTACCAGGTCCTATTGATAAGCATTTTGTACACATTTGAATTTAATTTCTACAATAACTCTGTGAAATAAAGCCCCCCTTTTAAAATAAGGAAACTAAGACATAGAGAGGTTAAGAAACTTTTACAAGGTCTCATAAGTATCATTTAAAAATATGTTTTGAGTGCTGGAACTATTTCTAGGTGCTGGGATTCAAATTCCAGCCAAAGAACTCTATTGCACCTATTTTTAAGTATAAAAGATTACAATGCATTTTTAAACTCTTGTGTTTGTTTTCTGCAGGTAAATGTGGAATGTATTTTGTGGAAGATAATGCTTCTGATACAGTTGAAAATTCAGTGAGTAGAGGCTTAAGTTTGTATTTACACTAAACCTAGACAAATTTCAAAAATATGTACAGTAATAGTGGGAGAGTAGAAAGCACAATTCGGTCTCATCTGTTGTCTGAGTTCCAAACATTTTTTAAAAGATAATTTTAAGCAGACTGCTTTCTCCTCTGGCTCACAGCCTGAGGTTCTCATCAGTTACTGTTAGGAGTCAGGTTCTAAAGTGCTGTTATTTCAGTCTGTGTCCAAGCTTTCTCATCACTGTCCTCAGTAGCAACACATAAACTGCTCCCTGGCACTCCCAGGTCACTGCCAAGTACCTTTGCCTTCAAAATAAAGGAAATATTTTGTATAATTGAGTCAGTTAAGTTATCCTGATATATATGTAGCTTAGTAATTATACCTCTTCTTTTGAAAATACTGGTATTAATCATAAAATAACAAAAAAGACACCACATTTTTGTAAAGTTTTTAGCCACTTGAATTACTTTGCACACCATTTAAATATTTGTTTGAGATCCCCATAAAATGAATATATATTTAATTTCAGTGAAGTTACTAATTGAAAACATAAAATCTGGTTATAAAGCAAATCATAAAAAGTTAAGAAAATATTTAATATAAGCCAAAAAATTGATTAGGTACTATTTTCTGATGTATATACTACAGGGTTTATCCCAGTTAGTAAAGTATAAGTATGTTATTTTTAAAGGTACATCTTTTTTCAACCAAAGAATTTAATAGTTGATACATGAAATAACATTTTTCTGTGCCCAAAGATGACATTATCCATTATCCCCACCCACCACACTTTTTTATTTTATTTTTTTTTATTTTTATTTTTTTTTGGTATACTGGGTATCTTGTCCTTATGAAGTGGGCAGCAGAACCACTGAACTAAATCCCCAGCCCTCTCCTTTTAGTGAATTAAAAGATACCCATGCTTTTTCATGGATTGATGGATCCTATGTACTTTTATAGCATTATTTCATCTTATATGGCATTTTCTGTTTTGCATTTTAAACATTTTACAAGTATGTCTTGCTCCTTTTTTGGCTTATACTTAACTAGTACCTTGCACACAGATGCTAAATATATGTTGAATGAATGAATGTTGAAACTAACCAAAAGAAAAATTTGATTTTTTTTTTCTTGAGACTATTACATTTGCATTTCTAATATATTCCCTGCCTCTACTTCTAAAACATTATTTGGCACCCCATACAATAGTGAAACACACATAGGGTAGAACAATACAAATTTAAAATTTTTTAAAATAATATTTGGAGAAATAAAGAACATGAGATAAAACTAATTGCAATTGAGTTGTAAATTTTGCTCTAAGTTTTCTGTTAGCTAACACAATAAATAAAGTTTTCCAGTTGGGCGTGGTGCCATGTACCTGTAATCCTAGTACTCAGGAGGCTGAGGTAGGAAGATTGCTATGAGTTTGAGGCCAGCCTGCACTACATTGTAAGTTCAAGCCCAGCATGAACTAATATGCTGCAAGACCCTAAAAGCAAACAAACAAATGGTTTTCCAAAAGCAAAAACTATTAGACAAAAAAACCCTAGAATGCAGTTTATTTGATGAGGTAAAGTCTTAACTAGGCTTAAACTTTAGTGGAAACTTTTTTCATAATTTCTCTATCAAAAGCATTGAGTAATATAGTTCATATGTCTAGTTGCAGTTTGCAAAAGATTAAACTCATATTTTTCAAGTTTTCTTTTGTACTTCGGGAGAGACCAGTAATGATGGGATATCTAGGCCTCAACTCTTCATTCTAAAATGGGGGATTTCTCTAAGTAGACTAAATTTGATGCTCTTAAAGAAATCTAGTCTTCTGGTGGTCTCTTTTTTAGTCTCCTTTCTTTCTGGACAACAGGAGGGACCTGTGGCTCTTTGACGTGTGTGTACTGTGAGCATACATCCCAGAGACTTTGTTTGTAATGGTGCTACTATGGTAGCAGTAATCTTTCTCCAGAGACCCTGCTTTGTCCATTTTCACTATGTTGGTTCTTCCTACCCAGAAGCAAGCGATGTCTTTCCCTTTTCTGTTATCCTCTTCGATCTCTTTCTTCAGAGTGCTATAGCTTTCAGAGTAGAGGTCTTTTATTTCTTTTGTTAGATTGATTCCTAGATTTTTTTTTTAAATTGTGTTCTGAAAGTTGTTTCTACAGTTCCTCTCTCAGTCTGTTTTCAAGATCTTAATAATAGGGAAACTGAGCGTGAGGGCAGGGGGCAGAATACATGGGGACTGTCTTGATAGCTGTTTAATTTTCTGTAAACCTAAAAACTGGTCCCAATAAAGTCTTCATTTTTTTATTGCTACTTTTTAATCTAATATTTGAAGTGTTTTATAATGGGAGGATTTTGAGGTAATCTTACCACCATTTTTCACCCCCCAGAAAAGGGTTTTTTTTTTTTGTTTCATTTGGATATTTTTTAAAAATTAAAATAATTATTCACATTTGATATAAAACAAGTACTTTTATCTATTTCCTTTGTTTTAGAGCCTTCAGGGAGAGTTAGAACCAGCATCATTTTCCTGGACATATGAGGAAATTAAAGAAGTTCATAAGCGTTGGTGGCAACTGAGAGATAATGCTGTAGAAATCTTTTTAACCAATGGAAGAACCCTCCTGTTAGCATTTGATAATACCAAGGTAAATTCAATTTGTGTATATGTATGTATGTGTGTATGTTGCGTGATTATGTGACCCATGCTATTCTTACTATATGAAGGTTTAATTTACTTAAACTTCAATCCACGGCTTAGAAATCAAATAAAAATTGCCTTACCTCTTAGTCCTAATTAAACATTTGGTCATGTGAAGATTCATTTTTGACCTCTCCAATTTGCTAAATTTGGATTTCACCAAATGACTAAAAGCAATAGTTTGAACTTGACTGGTCTTATAGTAGAGTCCATCTTTGACAAACTGTCTTTACACACACACACACACACACACACCCCATCCCTTCAGCTATCACTTCTCTGCTTCTCTCATAGAAAGCCTCAGACACAGCAGTACTGCTGCCTTGGGTTGGTGCCCATGGCTCTTGAAGGGCTCCTATCACACTTTTTTCTTACCACTGTGGTCAGAGTCACTGGGTCTCCATGTTGCGAAGCCCTGTCTATGGCTGTATTCCCTGGTCCTTACCCTATCAGCAGTGCTTGGTTAGTCTTTTTTTTTTTTTTTTTTTTTTTTTTTTTTGGTACCGGGGATCAAACTTGGGTCCTTGCACTTATAAGGCAGGCGGTGGAACCACTGAGCTAAATCCCCAGCCTGGTCTTTTCTTTTTTATAAAACCTCCTCCTCTGGGCTTTTGAATTACCACTTTCACCTGGTTCTCCTGTTACTTGGCCATCCATCTCTCCCCTGGGCATCTTAGGGCACATTCCTTGGACCTTTTTTCTCACACACTGTCTCATGGCTTTAAAATGCCATCTGTATCATAACATCTTATAAGTTTCTACCAGTACTCAAGCCTATCCCCTGAATGCCCACTCCTGAATTGGCATCTTCATTTAGAAGTCAATAATTGGCATCTCAAACACAACATTTACAAAACTGAACTTCCAGTTTTCCCTCCAAAATCTCCTTCTACTTCTCCATCTCAAAAAAAGACAGCTCCATCTTACTGATGCCCAGACCCAAATCCTTGAGATTTCTAAGGTCTTCCAAGAAGACCAAGACCATTCCATTTCTTTCATATCCATATCTGTTCCATCAGAATGCACCGAAAATCTGACAGCTTCCACTGTCACCATCCCGCCTGAGCTATCCTCTTCTCCTGCCTAGATTATCTCCCAACTGGTCCCCCAGATACATACACACCCCCTCCAGACTATTTCAGATCAACACCAATGGGTATGGATCATAATGTTCTGCTGGAAATCCCCAGTCATATCCCATGTCACTCACGTAAATCCAAAACCATTACAATGGCCTGATAAAACCCTGCATGACCAGTTACCTTGTTTCTTCCCTCTCTGACTTCATCTTTTACCTTTCTCTCCCTCACTTCCTCTACTCACTGCATGGTAGCTTTCTTTTCCTTAAATATGTCAGGCACACACTGACGCTTCAGAATTTTTGCACTTTCTGCTTCCTGGAATACCTTTCCCCTTAAAAATCCAGTGGCTCACTTCCTCAGTTTTTTAGGTTCTCCAATCATATGTCTTTTCTTCAGACCTTTCTAGATGATATCAAATAACAGTTGTACTCTCTTCCTAATCTGACTACACAAAATACAGTTCTCTGGCCCCCAAACATCCCTATCTCCTTTTCTATGCTGTTTTTCTCCATAAGACTGGTTAGCATCCAGCATTGTCTGCCTCTCCCAACAGAATGTCAAGACTTGCCTTTCTTAAGTGCCAGGAACATTACTGGTATGTAAATGTTTAGTAAATGAGCTCGCTTTGGCAGCATATATCCTGAAATGTTCAGTAAGTACTTGTTGTGTGAATGAATGTTTCCTTTTCCTTCCAAAATTTGATATACAGTCTGTCATAAATTCCATTCTGTTTACCTTAGCTTCAATTTGATAGCCTTCAGATTTAGGCTATGGGTTTGGATTTTTAAACTTGTTCCATAATTACAGCCCCATTTTCTCATTCTTGTAATTTTCTTTTAGTCCTATCTCTCACTAGCTACACCTGTGTGTGACTGTGCCTGAGCATATATACATTTAAGGTAGAAGGGCCAGGGATTTAGCTCAGTGGTTCTGGCGACTGCCTCGCAAGCACAAGGACCTGACTGAGTTTGAGCCCCAGTACAAAAAAAAAAGGATGGGTGTTTAAAGTCTGTTTTTAACGAAAGCTGAGCTTGTCTTTTTTGTTCATTTATTACCAGTTATTTAATTACTTTAGAAAAATCAGTACCCTTTTTCGGTGAGAAAACTTTTGTGAATCTCTAGAAGAGAGCTTATAGTTTTTTCAATTAATAATGGGAATTTAACTTTTTACATAGGATATTTTATTTAATTCTTATAAGTACTGTCACCCCATTGTTAGGTTTGTAAGTGTAGCACGAAGGTTTCATTGGAACACTAGTTAGATCTTCTAGTACAGAGATGTACTCTTTCTCTACTACACCATCCTGTGTTTATCTAGAAGAAAATTCCTGGGTTTTCTTCACTGATTTTCTTTTAGTATCTTCATAGAAGTGACTTTTCTGTGTAAGTTTTCCTTAGAAGTTATAAATAGGTTATCTAACTATAGATTTCTTGAGCAGCAAAGTACAGCAACTAAGAGCCCACTTTCAGGAAAAAGTCCTGCTGTTGACTCTTGGTTCTCCATCAGTTAATTATATTGGGCAAAAGCATTTTCTTGGAAGACTTGAGATTAGTAACCTATTTATAATGTCATTCTCTGAAGAGGGTCAATGACCCTAAAAATAATATCTGGTTTTCTTTCTCTTTCTTTTAGGTTCGTGATGATGTATACCACAGTATACTCACAAATAACCTCCCAAATCTTCTGGAATATGGTAACATTACTGCTCTGACAAACCTGTGGTATGCTGGACAAATTACTAATTTTGAATATTTGACTCACTTAAACAAACATGCTGGCCGATCCTTCAATGATCTCATGCAGTACCCAGTGTTCCCATTTATACTTGCTGACTATGTTAGTGAGACACTTGACCTCAATGATCCATCAGTCTATAGGTAAGTAAAGACGTCATCACCTTTTGGTTTCATATTATTGTCATTGAGTTTTTATTATGAAAATTTTAAGGATTCACAAAAATAAAATGATTATATAATGGACTTCCATATACCCATAAACTTGCATCATCTTTTTTCCTGTTTATTTCAGACATCTTCTTATAATGAATCACTTCTAAGTTTTACAGTGTGCATTTCTTTTTTAAAAAATAGAACATTTCTTATATAACTACAGTGCTGTTATCACATCTAAGAAAATTCATTCCATGATATCATTTACTATCTAGTTGATTTTCATATGTGCCCTGATTGTCTTAAGAATGTGTTTTTATGATTGGTTGGTTTGAATCTGGTCCTTGTTGCCTCATAGATTATTGATTATTGTCTCATAGATTGCTCGTATATCTAAAAACATGCATCCAAAATAGCTATGTAAATTGTTTATTTCCCCTAGATATAACCTTTAAAAAAAAAAAAAACAGCCATCATCTAATTTGTTCCTCTAGCCTCTGTTTCATAGAAACTAGAAATTAGTTCCAAAGGCTTGATTAAATTAAAGTTCAACTTTATGTAGACAGGAATATGCTGTACATGCTGGTGTGAGCTTTGTATGGCCTCTTGTCACCTCACAGGGGCCTGTGACATCCCACTCTGAGATTCTAAGATGGATATGTGAGTTCAAGCTCCCATTGAACTTTTACCTGGTAATTCCATCTATTGATAATAATTGTTTGCATCACTCATTTCACTAGAGGCTGCAGAATGGCAATATCTTATCTCTCATTTCTCATAAGTTTATTAGAAAAAACATACAGTATGAGCCTAATATAGTTTGTTGTGTCAGAGAAGAAGGAAACAAATGTCTTGTCAAAAGGACACAGGCGCCAACTTGAAATGCCTCACACTGTCAAATATAGGACAGTTTGAAAAGCAAAGAGAAGAATGATGCAAATAATTGAAGCAAATTGAAATAAAAAGATACATAAATTTTTAGTTATACAGGTTGAATATCCTTTATCTAAAATGCTTGGGACCAAGTGTGCAGGTATTTCAGATCTAGGAATCTTTATATGGACTTTACCAGTGGAGCATCCCTATCCAAAAATCTGAAATCAAACTTCAGAATCTGAAAATTTTGGAGCACAGTGTTTGAGGATGTTTCAAGTTTAGTACATTTTGGATTTCAGATCTTTAGGGATTGTTGACCCATATTTTTTTAAATGCCAAAAAATAATTAAAAGCATACCTCATTGGTCCCGTTGGAGGGAGCTTACTGTGATTGGAGTTCCTTACTTTGAAATTTGAGGGAAAAAGGAAAAGAATCAAGCATTTATTTACTGTATCTTATAGTAACCAAATAGCTATGGGTGATGAGAGAATATTTTGTTTGCTTAGTTTGAAATTTTTCTTATTTAAAGAAAAGATTGACTCCAAATATTCCACTTGTATATTAATATATTTTACTTATAACTGTCCACCTCAAGTAGGCCTTAGTTCAAGCAATTCTCAAGAAATCAGTTTCCATTTAATGTTTTTGTCAATTTTTTTAAAAAAGCAAATGACACGTGATTTCTGTTTTAGATATTTTACATGCTGCTGGTGGGCATGTAAAAATCATGCATTTTTTATGTGAATAAGATATGGTCTTTATGGCAATTTGATGATGTATTTCCAGAGAGCTCTTAAAATATGCATGCTGTCTTAGCAGTTTAGTTCCTGAGGATTTTTTCTTAGGAAATACTGCAGGATGTGTGCTCTCTCGGAAGGTTCTCGTAAGTTTCACACTTGTCCCGCTTACTGGCACTGTGTGTAAAGGTTTAGTTGTCAGTGCAGTCTTCACAGCATTGCTGAAAATAACTAGAATCTGGAAATAACCTACATACCCTCACTGGGTTTCAGTAAATTGCTGTATGTCACAGCCATTGAAGTAATGTTATTTTATTAACATTAAAGGATTTAGCTCGGTGGTGCTGCTGCCTGCCTTGCAAACGCAAGGACCTGAGTTCAGTCCCCGGTATCAAAAAATTAAAATAAAAAAAAAATGTTATGGAAATGTATGTTGTGAGCAGGAAGAGACTTTCTTTTTATTTAAAAAAGTAAATAAAATGCACAGATAAGCAGAGAAAACATCTGTATACGTATATTCCAAAATGTTTTATCTATGAGTAATAGTAGTATAACTGATTCTTTTTTTTTTTGGTACTGGGGATTGAACTCAGGACCATGAGCTTGCAAGTCAGGTGCAGTGCCACTGAACTAAACCCCTGGAGCAACTGATTCTTGATTTATTTAGTTTACTAAACTGTAATTTCTGCTTTTTCAGCCACATCAGTTAATATAATTTGTGTCCAAAAATCTACTTACAGCAATTATAAGAATTTTATGTCAAGGTCTTCCTATTTTGAGATGTGAATTCATATGTGTTGTATAAAACTGTTTTTCCTTCTTTGTTTTTACTTCTTTTGAGACAGTGTCGTGCTATGTTCCCATGCTGATCTTGAACTCTTGGGCTCAGGTGGTCCTCTGCTTAGTCTCCCAAGTAGCTAGGACTACAGGCATGAACCACCATACTGGGTTCTGTTTTGGGCTGTGCTGTATAAACCTCAGGGGTAACATGTACGCACACGTGTGTGTATGCCCTGCATCATTGTGTAATTAGATAGCAAAACATTAGCTTCAGTACTTCAAATCTCAGCTGAGTCATTTGAAGTGTGTACTATTTCTTCAGTTTTTACTAATTAGCCTAATAATTAAATAGTATCTTCTCATGATCATAATTTCTGTCCAAAATTTCCTTTACTCTAACTGCCAGATAGGGATGGAGATTCTGGAAAAGGGGAACAAGAACTTCCAGGGCTTGAGTGGCATCAGCTGCTATGGGCATCATTAGTTGCATTTCCAGAGGAAACTGCACATGTAGGGGGAGAAGCTCTTCTTGTTCAGGTTATACCTCAGGCAGTGTTTCCTACTGCTGGCATAGGTCTCTGGGAAGATTCTACCATAACTGCTTTTGAAGCCGTAATTTTGAATGGTGACTCTTAGTTGAAAGCAACGTGTTGTAAGCATTAAACTCACGCCAAGCATTTTTCTGATCACTTATTTACTCAGAGAATGCAGACATAGGTGGCCTCATCCAGTCAGTATCAAATGATTTCATTTTTTCCTGTCATTCCTTCCTTTATAGAAATCTCTCTAAGCCTATAGCTGTGCAGTATAAAGAAAAAGAAGATCGTTATGTGGACACATACAAGGTGGGTGTAGTTTCTACTCATACTTTAACAAATAAAAAATGGAGTTTGTTTTGTAGATTTGTGTACTACCTGATTTTAAATTTACAATATTGATTTTTCTGTTTTTCCTTTCCTTGCACTTTGACAGATAACTAGAAATCATTTTATGAAATTAAATATTCTTTTCTCTCTTAATTCTCTGAAAACACCTCAGAGATTTAAGAAAAAGAATATCCTCTTGTCATAAATTGAAAACTAACAATCCATTGTTTACTCAAATACTTAGTAATTATATTTCTTTTAAAAAAATCACAGACTTCCAAGGACCTGCTCTTTATATCCCCTAGTGCTATTTATGTAGCAATATTAACACATTTCTTTTTTACCATAATCCTTAGGTCATATTCAGAAAATTTGGTTTATTAAAACAAATTTACTAGATTTTAAATTTTTTATTTTTTCTTTCTTTATTTATTTTTTGGTGTGATAAATCAAACTCAGGACCTTGCACTTGCCTGGCAGGTGCTGTCACTGAGCTAAATCCCCAGGTCTTACATTTTTAAAATACAAATGAATTACCTGTTTCTTGTTTGATTCTTTATAGTTGAAAATAGGTCAGTGAGGGTCCAAAGTGACTATTGACAATTCACTGCACTTGACTTTGTCATCAGAACCAAACAGAAGCCATGGAAGATGAGCACAGTTATTAAATGCTTAGCTTTGCTTCCCTACTTTATGACCAAAGGATAAGGATGAAAATTCACTATAGTCTTTTTATTCTTTATGTACTATACTGCAAAACAGCCATAAAATATTATATTAATATTGATAATATGTAATATCTTTACATTTCTATTGCATTTCTACTTCTAGAGAAGCATTTCTTTAAATAACGTAACATTGTGTCATGCAGCTGTCCTTTAACTCAGATGCCTCTAGTGATTGGAGCAGTTCTCATTATTGGAGTGCTCGATGACCTTAGATATTAGGAGCTGGAGTGCTCAGCATGAGGCTGCAGAGCCAGGAGGGTTTTGAGAGGACACAGGGTGGAGATGCAGAATGCCGGGTGAAGCCTCACATGATCAGGCCTTGGCAAACCTCAGAGAAGACTCTAGACACTCAGGCTGGCTGGGGTCTCAGACATGAGTGGGATGGGCAAGCCATGGAGATTGGCGTCAAAAGGCGGGTAGAAAAGGACAGAAAAGAAAACCTGCAGTCATGAATTTTCTCTGATTCGGAATCCTTCAGTACTTGGAGGAGGAATACCGCAAAGGAGCAAGGGAAGACGACCCCATGCCTCCTGTGCAGCCCTATCACTATGGCTCCCACTACTCCAACAGTGGCACTGTGCTCCACTTCCTGGTCAGAATGCCTCCCTTCACCAAAATGTTTTTAGCCTATCAAGGTAAGAATGTTTCTTATCTCTAAAATCATGTTGGGTCGTGACAACAAACTTGACTGGCTTCTTGAGAATTTAACCAAAACCACAGGAAAGAAAATTCCATTCCTTCATCAAAATTCTCCTCAAAAAAGTGGTGGTAAATGAAGTCATCTTGGTAATGTCTCAGGTTTATCTTCCAATTAAACATATTTATAAAATGTGATTCTTTTTTAAAATTCTTTTTAATTTTTAAAAAATTAAGATATGCAGGGATTTAGCTCAGTGGCACTGTGCCTGCCTTGCAAGCCCAAGGTCCCAAGTTCAATCCCCAGTAGCAAAAAAAAAATTTAAGACCATAAATTTTACCCTTTTAAACTGCATGCAGTTTGCTTTGTAAAGCCTTTCAACCTAATAATTATTTCAAATCACCTAAGTTACCTTGGAACCTGTGTACATTATTTGTACAAAGGGTACACTATTGTAATTCATTGTAGAGGATTATGTTATTGTTGTTTACTATGCCTAATAATGAATAACTATGAGAGTCGCACCTTCACTGTAATAATTGCCTACTTAATAATCTGCCTCAGTTGGGCATGGTGGGTGCACATCTGTAATCCCAGTGTTCTGGGAGGCTGAGGCAAGAGGATGGCAATTTCAAGCCCAGCATGGGAAACTTAGCAATTTTTTAAGACCCTGTGTCAAAATTTAAAAAAACAAAAAAAAAGACTGGAAATGTAACTCAGAGCAAAGGCCCTGAGTTCACTTCCATATTAGTCAACACTGGGACAAAATTCTTGACATCCATAACTTAAAGGAGACAAGTCAGTTTGGCTCATGGTTTGAAGTTTTAGTCCATGGTCAGCTGGCTGCAAGGCAGAAATGACATGGTGGAAGGAAGTGACAGAGAAAAGCTGCTCACCCCATGGCAGCCAAGAAGCAAAGGCCAGAGAAGGGATAAGAATACCCTCTTCCAGGTCACACCTCCAGTGACCTGCCTTTTCCAATCAGACCGCAGCAGATTCATCATGAACTAATGAATTAGTCCACTGATGAGTGATATAGCATCCCCACGACCCAGAAACCCCACTTATGAATACATGAGACCTTGGCGGGACATTTTAGATCTAAACCATAACAAATCTCCAGTACTGCAAAATCATCATCATCATCATCTACTTTGGCATTTTGAGTAGCAGCCTGCAGGCCTGAGGATGACTTAGGAGTGAGTTTACTAATTTGTATGCAAACAGTGACACACTCCCCTGTCACTTTCTAATGAGAACTGGCATATTAGCTCTTTAGTTGTTCCCCAGAATTCTTTGGAGAATCGTTATCCACTTATGTATTCAACGCTTGTAGGACTTCCTTATATTTTTTATTTATATACAACCTCTTGAAGGAATGAATTTGTATTCTCTCTGCTTGGTCTTTGAAGGGACTTTTTATATTTGTTTCTCTGTAAGTACACAGAATAAATGTTTCACATGACAGCCATTCAGATATTTTAAGACTGTTGCCCTGTCCCTTTTCTGTATCTGAGCCTTGTTTTACTTTGGCTAATTATCTCTCCTTAGTTTGATAGCAGGTTGAGAGCTGCCTATACGCATGACCCTACCCAATCCGTTGTAAGGAATACGAAAAGATAAATGGGACTGCTCTGTATTTCATAAACAGCAGTCACAACTCAGATTCAAAGCCATCCTTGTGTCGTCATCTAAACCTGTCACAGTTCTGAAGACATTTCTGGACATGTACCAATTTGTGAATGTTGTTATTTAAAAATTACAATATTTTAGGTGTGGTTTTGGGTCCACTTTAGTGTTTAACAGAACTTCTGTCTCCCTTCATCTTAACACTGTGTTTCTTTTAATGTACCCCAAGAATCTATTATGTAAGATTAGGAGCCAGGGATTTAGCCCAGTGGTTCCGCTGCCTGCCTTGCATATACAAAGTCCTGAGTTCAGTCCCTGGTACCAAAAAAAAAAAAAAATTCTCAATAAACTAAAACTTATTAATCTTCATTTATATTGCTATTATGAATATATAAAAATATAATACTAGGTTTTCTTTGCTGTTGATTGGTTGATTGTAGTACTCAAGTTTGAACCCAGGGCTTTCATACTAAGCTGCATCCAAGCCCTTTTTAAATTTAAAAAAAAAAAATTTTTGTTTTTTTAAGAAAGGATTTTGTTATGTACCTCATGTTGGCTTTGATAGGCCTAGGTAGGAATCTAGCTCAGGCTAGTCTCAAACTCATGGTAATGCCCCTACCTCAGCCTCCCAAGTGCTGGGATTATAGGCACATGCCACCATACCCAGCTTTTATTTTTTAAATTTTGAGACAGTTTTGCCATAGAGTTGCACAGGCTGAGGTCAAATTTAGAGTCTTCCTACCTCAGCCTCCCAGAGTTATGGAAATAGAGGCATGCAACACGACACCCTGCTATATTGTATATTTATGAGTAGATTCTTTAAAATCCTGGTACTACCTTATCTCTGTTAACTTTCATCTCATTAACTTGAAATTATTTTTTGCTTTACATTCAGTCCAAGAATTCTCAACTTTCACACTCTAGTAACCTGGAGCTACATAATTTCTCTGTCAAAGGGGCTGCCCTATGGACTGTAGCGTCTAAACCACTACCCACTAATAGCAGTGGTATGTCCTCACCCCAAGTTGTGACAACCATAAATGTCTCCAGACATTAACGTATAACACTGTAAGTCAAAAGTGCTGCCAGTTGAGAACCACTGATGGAGTATAAGCATAATCTAGATCGGTGGCGGTGAACATGTGGCACATGTGCCACAGCAGCCCCAGCAGCTGAGTATCAGATGTTCTGGTTTACTTCCAATGTTGGCACTTCGCCATACATAAATGGGTTTGGGATTACAGATTGCGTACTCAGTCTCTGAAAGATTCGCCATCACTGGTCTAGATTAAAAGGATTTTGTGGTAATATTTTTTAGAAACAAAAATCAAGAAACTACAGAAAGTCTGAATATCTGGATGTGTTCTATTTTTCCTTAGCTCTTGGTGCAGTGAACCCACCATGGCCTGACAAAATGGCCCTGCTTACTTTTAAGAAATAAAGAAACATTTATAAAACTTACATTTAGCCAGGCCACATGCCTGTAAGCCCAGCACTCAGGAGGATCGCTGTAAGGTTGAGGTCAGCCTGGCTACTGGGCCTCAGCGAGGGCCAGTCTCTGAAAAGAAATTTTTTTCTGTTTTCCGAGATTTTATACAGTGGCCAAGCAATGCTATCTGACTCAACAGAATAGATAAGAAAGTAGTAACAATAATAGAAAATATGCTCAGCAGAGCAGCTAATGTGTAGAGAAAAAATGGAGTGTATCATTTTGAAGTTATTCTTTGCTCGATGCTGAGATTCATTTGTGACAAGTACCCACATGAAATGATATGCTAGTTAACTACTTAGAAGGATTTTTTAGACCATTGACGCTTTTCCTAATAAATGTATATTTCATTGATGTTTCCAAGGACTGGCCTTTGGGTATCATTTATTATTCCAGGCCTGCCCTAGGCCTGGAAAGTCTGATCATTGTTGGCAGAAAAGAGACAGGAACAAAACTCAATTCTTGTTTATTCATAGTCTCTGCCACACAAAAAAATTTAACAAAAGAGTGACTATGCTTAGTTTTATTATTCATTTGTAGGATATTGTACTCAAATGCTTTGGCTAGAACATCTAATCCTTCTCCCCTACCGAAAGAGAGAAAATGGTCTTAATTTTGTTTCCTAGTAGGGAAAAAAACTACCTAACTAAACTTTAATTTTCCTTCTTTATTCATTCACTCAATAAAGAAATATCTTATCTCTTCTTGGCCTTTTGGCTAAGATCAAGTGAAAGAATCTTTTTTGTGTACTCATAATATACTGGGTATGGGTTATCTGCTGGGTATGGGTGGCACCCCAGGGCTCCTCCTTTTGTAGAACTTTAATTCTTCTTGAATAAAAGATAGTAATTAAACAAGTAAATAATATAAATTCATCTAGCTATATGTATTATGAATGCATAATACAAGTGAAAATAATGTAATATGATCTCAAAATATCTCTGAAACTATGGGCAAATAAAATCAATGTTTTTATGAATTTTTTGAAATAGCAAAAGCTGTGAAAGGTTTCAAGTGGAATTGTCTTTGTATCTTAATTGCATCATTTGTATTTCTTTATAGATCAAAGTTTTGACATTCCAGACAGAACTTTTCATTCTACAAATACAACTTGGCGCCTCTCATCTTTTGAATCCATGACCGATGTGAAAGAGCTTATCCCAGAGTTTTTCTATCTTCCTGAGTTTTTAGTTAACCGTGAAGGTATTGCAGCAAGTCATTTTCATTTTACATTTTTGAGAATTTGTGATGATGTTATAATTTTCCAAAAATAAATATAGCTTTTCTAAGTCCTAAAATTTGAGTTCCTAAATAAGAGAAATTCATTTCTTTAAAGTGTATAATTTTATTTCCAGGTGAGCCTGAGTATTTTAAGTTTTTCATAGGACAAAATATATTTGGAAGACTTACATTTTTAAATGCTAAAATGTTTTATAAGTGTACATTTTATTTTTTATTATATAAATTATTTTGTTATAAATGTTTTACCCTTTTTTAAAATATTGAAAGCAAATGTAACTTAACAAAACTCAGTGATTTTATGAAAAACTCAAAGATAAAAATAAAATACTCTAACCAGAAATAACTAATAACCAAAAGGGATTCTGAAGGGTAAAATCTAACTTTCTGTGATGCCAGTGACCAGTGATCTTGACAACCTTACCTTTTATTTAATAGAACATCATTTAACCCTGTAGAAGGTAATTTTGGGTTATTTTCTTTAATTTCATGTTTTTATGCAACTCAAAAATACAGGAAATTGAGAATTATATCTCTAGGGAAATTAGTGTTAGGTGAATCACTTCAGAATTATTTTCTAACTGGCTTCTCTGAGGCTGTTTGGAGAATTACTAATAAATGCAAACTGCTAGTTACCCTGGCCATGTTTCATGATGTTATCCATATGAAAATGCTTCAGGCAAATATCAGTACCTGTAGTTTGGAGAACCTTCCTGTAGCTTTCAATGTGGAATTCATATTTAACCCATTTCCCATTTAGAAAAAGAAAGTACAGCTCACTACCAGCATTCATTTAATTTTCAGCAATCAAGAATTACTGCATATCATAAATGGAAATACCATTATTAAAAACAGAATGCTATAAAAAAATGATGTCTTTTGTTTCCAAAGACTATCAATACATTAGAGCAATCCAAAAATAATAATGAAAATGAGATACTTGGGGAGTAGTTAGGGCTGTAGTCTGAGTTATCTCAGATAAATCTGCACCTGCAAATACCACTGGTTAGTATTCTTGGGGCAACCAGGAATGGATTAAATCTACTGCTTGTTTGCCACCTGCCTCTCAAGTGCAAGGTCCCAAGTTCCATCCCCAGTACCAAAAAACAAAAACAAAAACAAAAAAAAACTACTGCTTGTTTGCTCTGATAGTAGTTCCTTATATGTATATTCCCATAACCAGTGCACACATAACAACCCCAACATTTAGTGACATAAAACAAAAAGTTTATCCTCTGTCAGTCTTTGCAGGTCTGAAAATTAGGACCAGCTCAGCCTAAGGATTCTGGCACACAGACTGCTTCTATTTGAGAGAATAGCAAAGTTCTTGAAAAGCATACAGGAAATGTTATGGCCATTTTCTGAAAATACTATAGAATTTTCCATAATATGCACCATGTCATTTCTTATCAGCATTCTTCTCATTTTCTCTCAGTCATCTGCTGAGTGGAGGGTCTACATCTGTGATGTGCCCTAGAGCACCCCAAAGTTGGGAATTATTGAGTCCCTTAGATTAAATAAAGTAACCCATGCTGCTGCTTCTCCTGGAGCTGCGTGGAGTTCTGCAGGTTCTCAGCCAATCCTTCCTAAACCACTTGCAGCTGCTCTGTAGGACTACAGGCTCCTTGAAATGCTTACACCCAGTGAGAATTTGATAAAACCCTCATTTAATATTTCACATTGTATCATTTCAAAATGCTTCCATGTCAATGTGAAGATTCTTCAGTGTTCACACATTTAAGTAGACAACAACTTAATTTTATATAGAGCTACTCAGCTTTTAAGACATCATTTTTAATTTTTATTCTTATAGTGCTTGGCTTTTATGTCAATAAAATGTAATACTGGAGCTGGGGATTTAGCTCCGTAGTTCTGCCACCTGCCTTGTAAGCTCCAGGTCCCAAGTTCGATCCCCAGTACCAAAAA